ACTGTTCAATGTCTGCTGAGATCTACAAAAGTTGTTTTTCCATTCTCTCATTGCACCCACTGTTCCAAATACCCATTTTCTTGTTAGGATGATAGGTACTTCCTGAGTGGTTCACTGGATGGTAAATTGAGACTATGGAATATACCTGATAAAAAAGTAGCATTATGGAATGAAGTTGATGGACAGACCAAACTGATCACTGCTGCTAACTTCTGTCAGAATGGTAAATTTGCTGTTGTTGGCACTTATGATGGACGGTGTATATTTTATGATACAGAGGTGAGTTTCCATATAATATATGTTTATATATTATGTTAAATGTTCTTACAGACTTAGATGATAATTGGTTCAGTGTGTCTGTATTGAACTAGACATGTGTCTGTATTGAATTGAACATGTGTCTGTATTGAACTAAACATGTGTCTGTATTGAACTAAACATGTGTCTGTATTGAACTAAACATGTGTCTGTATTGAACTAAACATGTGTCTGTATTGAACTAAACATGTGTCTGTATTGAATTGAACATGTGTCTGTATTGAACTAAACATGTGTCTGTATTGAACTAAACATGTGTCTGTATTGAACTGAACATGTGTCTGTATTGAACTAGACATGTGTCTGTATTGAACTAGACATGTGTCTGTATTGAACTAAACATGTGTCTGTATTGAACTAAACATGTGTCTGTATTGAACTAAACATGTGTCTGTATTGAACTAAACATGTGTCTGTATTGAACTAAACATGTGTCTGTATTGAACTAAACATGTGTCTGTATTGAACTAAACATGTGTCTGTATTGAATTGAACATGTGTCTGTATTGAACTAAACATGTGTCTGTATTGAACTAAACAAGTGTCTGTATTGAATTGAACATGTGTCTGTATTGAACTAAACATGTCTGTATTGAACTAAACATGTGTTTGTATTGAATTGAACATGTGTCTGTATTGAACTAAACATGTGTCTGTATTGAACTGAACATGTGTCTGTATTGAATTGAACATGTGTCTGTATTGAACTAAACATGTGTCTGTATTGAACTAAACATGTGTCTGTATTGAACTGAACATGTGTCTGTGTTGAACTAAACATGTGTCTGTATTGAACTGAACATGTGTCTGTATTGAACTGAACATGTGTGTGTGTTGAACTAAACATGTGTCTGTATTGAACTGAACATGTGTCTGTGTTGAACTAAACATGTGTCTGTATTGAACTAAACATGTGTCTGTGTTGAACTAAACATGTGTCTGTATTGAATTGAACATGTGTTTGTATTGAACTGAACATGTGTGTGTGTTGAACTAAACATGTGTCTGTATTGAATTAAACATGTGTGTTGAACTAAACATGTAACTGTGTTGAACTAAACATGTAACCGTGTGAACTAAACATGTAACTGTGTTGAACTAAACATGTATCTGTATTGAATTAACATGTGTGTTAAACCAAACATGTGTCTGTGTTGAACTAAACATGTGTCTGTGTTGAGCTAAACGTGTGTCTGTGTTGAGCTAAACGTGTGTCTGTGTTGAGCTAAACGAGTCTGTGTTGAGCTGAACATGCGTCTGTATTGAGCTGAACATCTGTCTGTATTGAACTAAACATGTATCTGTATTGAATTAAATATGTGTGTTAAACTAAACATGTGTCTGTGTTGAACTAAGCATGTGTCTGTATTGAACATGTGTCTGTGTATAGCCCAGATAATTTAAACTGTTGTCATGTATTTTGTAGCATTTGAAGTATTTTACTCAGATTCATGTCCGATCTACAAGGGGTAAGAATGCAAAAGGAAGGAAAATCACTGGGATTGACCCATTGCCAGGTCAGGACAAGGTGAGTGATCAAATTGAAATATTAGCATCAAGTGAATACATTCTTTTTGTATGTCTATGAAAATGATTGTTACTTTCTAGATTCAGGTGTCACATGTCAGTTGAAAACCTGCTCTTCACACTTGGTTATTTCCATTTGCCATCCCATTGAAAGTCTAACAGATATGATAGAATTCTGTAAATCCAAATCAATTTAGATAGAGATTAAACATTCATTA